AGAAAATTTCGTGGACGTGTTCCCCTCGCGGCCTGTAAAAACAATTACACACGCCTGCTACGGACAAACTAAAAATCTGGCAGATATTGACCAACACTGATTTACGCAAATCTACCTCTGATTTAGGGTTTGCGAAAAAACAAAAACAAAAGCAAACAAAACAAAACAAAAAGAAAGTCATTTTGTCACCATCACAGTACACTTCTTAGGGGCTTGTTCCAAATTGACGGGCCTTGCCGCGCTCATTTTGATCATGGTTGAAGCGCCGTCTTCTTCGTTTTCTCCCTGATAATTTCTCAGCCAGCTATGTGTATCACCAGGGAAGCAGGGCTTTCTCTTGGTGACCAGACACAAGATTTGAATATTTTCCTAGAAGAATTTGAGATTTTCAAAACACTGTAAACCAGGATGGGCTCCTGTGTAAACCCAAAACAGGCGAAGCGCAACCCCGGCGATCACGCACCGCCTATGAACCTTAGCTTGTCCATAACGGAAAAGTAACAAAAGTGTAAGTGTAGGTGTAACTCTTCTGTTATATTATTTGTAATTAATTACTTTTTTCACTTGTTTTAAGCAATTTTTTTTAACCGATCCCTGATCCTAGATCCTTGATCCCCGATCCTGATTTTCCAGTAAACCATTGCCAGGCGACGCGTTATAGCGCCGGTGTGTACAAGAAGTACAACACTCTGGGATCTGAAAACGTTACTTTTGTTCGCGAAAATCAATAAAAATGACTTAATTCTGGTATATCCCACTGTGTTTTGGTGTTTGCTTGTTGTTTCGATAAACCTTATGAAAATCTTATCGAATAAATTGACACTTGTAATATTTTTCCGTCCTTCATTTTTGGATAGACCTTCACAGGGGCACACAGATTATCCACAGAGCCCAGAAGAACCCATAGAAATCTTCAAACTGTCAATATATAGAGGATATTACACGGTGGCGAGAAGATATGAATTTTATGTTCGAGTGGCAAGAACAATATCTCACGAGTGAGCGAAGCGAACGAGTGAGATATTGTTCTTGCCACAAGAACATAAAATTCATATCTTCGAGCCAACGTGTAATGNGACCAGACACAAGATTTGAATATTTTCCTAGAAGAATTTGAGATTTTCAAAACACTGTAAACCAGGATGGGCTCCTGTGTAAACCCAAAACAGGCGAAGCGCAACCCCGGCGATCACGCACCGCCTATGAACCTTAGCTTGTCCATAACGGAAAAGTAACAAAAGTGTAAGTGTAGGTGTAACTCTTCTGTTATATTATTTGTAATTAATTACTTTTTTCACTTGTTTTAAGCAATTTTTTTTAACCGATCCCTGATCCTAGATCCTTGATCCCCGATCCTGATTTTCCAGTAAACCATTGCCAGGCGACGCGTTATAGCGCCGGTGTGTACAAGAAGTACAACACTCTGGGATCTGAAAACGTTACTTTTGTTCGCGAAAATCAATAAAAATGACTTAATTCTGGTATATCCCACTGTGTTTTGGTGTTTGCTTGTTGTTTCGATAAACCTTATGAAAATCTTATCGAATAAATTGACACTTGTAATATTTTTCCGTCCTTCATTTTTGGATAGACCTTCACAGGGGCACACAGATTATCCACAGAGCCCAGAAGAACCCATAGAAATCTTCAAACTGTCAATATATAGAGGATATTACACGGTGGCGAGAAGATATGAATTTTATGTTCGAGTGGCAAGAACAATATCTCACGAGTGAGCGAAGCGAACGAGTGAGATATTGTTCTTGCCACAAGAACATAAAATTCATATCTTCGAGCCAACGTGTAATGTTCTTTTTATTATATGGAGAAACCAATTCAACAAAAGCAAAAGGCGGGAGTCGTAACATCATTGAACGATACGACACTCACAAAGGTGAAATACGGAAAATACGCCACTCGGGTCCCGGATGAAGTGGCGTATGGAATCTACGAGTGGTTTAGTTGCCATTAAAACACTCTCCTCCATATAATAAGTGGCCATATCAGGGGCCTCCCTGGGCCATATTTATTTTTGACCACGCGACTATGGAACTGGCACGAATATCCTAATAGGGCGAATGAGGAAATTGTCTCATTTTTGGTTTTTGGAAGGTGTTTCAGCGGATGACTGACAAGATCTCTGTTTACTTAAAGTTACAGTGAAAAGAAGGGTAAGACATTGCATGTGAATTGCATGTTGTTGAGTGAGAGGATTGGTGTGAAGGTCTCGTGACAAAGTTGTGACGCGTGTCACGTGATTTTAAGTATAAAATGCTTTTGTCACTTTCAAGTTAGTCTCTCTTCAGCTGCGAGTTTCGGAGGGCTAACAATCATGCAGTTTTCCTTGATTTTGGTTATTTTTTCCATCATCAGCCTTTCTCAGGCTGTTTTGAGGTAAGATCTACGTTATTAATACAATCTTTGCTGGCCGAAAAGTCTTATTTTCGCTTTTTCTATTCGGGACCCAGTTCCGGCAGCACGCACGCAGAGAAATTTTTTTCGCCCAGTGAATCCACAGATTGATGCTTTCCTTTAATTTCTCGATCAAGCATACATTCTGTATTTCCGAGTTTGGTTTCGATGTGTAAAAAGACAAACATCTAGCTAAACGCTCTAAGTGGTGCTTAATAATTATGCTTTCTTTCCATTCACGCAATAAGCTTGTAATTTCTTAAACGAACTTGCCAGAAAAAATAAAACCTGGACGGCTCTGCTGGTAAGCAAGCATTTTGCTTCAATCCACCATCCCGCTGAAATTTTTAAGTCTACGTCCCATGATTTCGACTCAACTTTTGTGTGTTTTCGTCTGCCAACACTTTTTGAATATTAATTATGTTTTTAATGTGATCTGCGAGTGGGTTCGATTTATTAATATTCACGTTTTTTTCCCATCAATGCTTTCTGATCAAAGCTAACTTTTTTTTTTCATCAAAGCTGTAAGTATCACTGACTTAGCAGCTAATAAAACGAATTTTTCGTCAGTGCAGCGGTCCTGGGCTTTTTGTAGCCGAACCAGACTAAACTTGAACTGTACTTTTTACTAGTAACTCTCTGCTCTAACAACAGGGTCAATCCTTTCTGCATACAAGTCACGTGCACGTACTTTGTTTTATAAGTAAAGACTTGTTCTCTTCTCGTGGCGCATGAAGGCCTTTGTTCTTGGAATCCTTGACTCCTAATTTGTGATCTCAGCGCAATTTTTATTTTTACTATTTTGTCACACATTTACACATTCACAGTTATTGTACTTCAAAGTCCTCTTTTGGAGATTTTTTCTCCCAAACTTAATTAAATTTCAATTTCTATTGGCAAATGAAAGAAAACAAATTGGCAAGGTTTAAAATAGTGTATTAATAATATTGTACATGTGCTTTGTGAAAATGAAAGAATTGAATGTAAGTGGTGGGAAATTACTAGCCGATTTCCAGCTGTGTGAGGCGAAGTTTCTCAAGAACAGTGGTGGTCTGCCTCTGTGTAGATGGGTTGGGGTGACAAAAGTGCTAGATACCATAAATCCTCTATTAAGCCCCCTTGGGAGGGGCTTATTTAATTTTGAAAAGACAATGGTATTAGTTCTCCATAAAGACCTAGAATACAAAGTGGATAAGCTTAAGTAGAAGTAGGCTGGAGGTCATGCAGCCGACGATCAGAATCAAATCCGAACTTCCAGTTGGTAAATAAACCACCCCGGATAGGTGCATGAGAAGTTTAACAGTCGTGATAGATTAATACAGTCTGTCATTTTTTATTGAAGGATACAATGTAATTATGGGAGAAGAGGGGGGGGGGGGGGATTTTTTATTTTTTTTCCCCGTATGGGGGATATAAAGAAACCACTTTCCCTCTGGGGATATATTTAAAGTATTATAATTTTTATTTTTAAAAAGTGGTTTTTAATTTAAGGTACAAAAAAAGACAAAAAATAAAGGGTGAAAAAGAAAGGAGAAATGGGTGGGTGGGAGAGAGCGGGAACTACAAAAAAAAAACCAAACTTTATATTTGATAAAAAAACCCCCCGGTGGGGGGTAAAAAAGATTTAAAAGGGTTGAAATAATAAAGGAGGTTTTTTTTTTTTTTGGAGAGATAAAAAATTTATGGGGGGGAAGGGGGGGGGGGGGGGGGACTTATTAACTTTCTTCCCCTGATAGGGGATATACAGTAACTGCATTCCCTCTGTGGATATAATTACAGTATGATAATATTGATATTTAGAAAGTGGTTTTTACATGTAAGGAGAGAATTCTAATGGTTGCAGAGATTTTATCTTCTGAAAATCCAAAGTTTTGAACTCCATCTTACTGATGTCTCCGTCATGGCTGGTTTGTGTCCTCTCAGGGTGTACCAGTTTTTTCCTGCTGCGTCTCACATTTCTTGCGTGTGGTGACTTTCATGCGTGCCCGTGTTTTGCTTGCTCTACTATCCCTGAGGGAAAATGGGGACTACTTGTAGTCTAACACAGAGTGTAAGTGACAAAACACCAAACTTTTCCCAGTTAAATCACTACACTCTCTTAAGAGTCCACGACCATATTTTTATCATGGCTGTGGAACTTTTTATTGTTTTTATCCTCCTTTAACCAACCACTTAAGGCATGGTTTGATCTCTACATTCATTGTCTGAGCTAAAGGCTGCTGATAGGTAAGGGATAGTCTGAAATGTCACACGTCTCCACCCCCTAACCTGTGGGGACAGGGGATGAGAGAGACATCTGAATTCCAAGCATTATATGTCGTCCAGTGACATCACCTACTTTTGCATATATGGTGAGTATTTTCTGATTGGCTATTACTTGCTGCTGTTCATGGTTCCGTGACCTATGGCTGCCAACCTGTTAAGAAATCAAAATTTATGCAAAAATGCATGAATTAATCGGTGATGTCACCGGACAGCATTATAGCACTCGGAATCCAGACGTCTCTCTCCCCCATGGGTTAGGGGGTGGAGACATATGACATTTCAGACTATGCCTTGCTGCAATATGTAAGTACTATTGTATATACATGCAAGATGTGCGATCAGCGTTTTATTTTTTTGGCATTTTTAGAATCCCTTTGTTTAAGATGAGAACAATCCGAGATGGTCTCGCAGATGCTGGGATCACGCGGGAGCAGCTTAGAGAGAAATGGCAGCAAAAACATGGCAAGCAGTATGGGGGTCCATGGCCAGAGCCACTGTCAAACTATCTTGATGCACAGTACTATGGTGAAATCATGATCGGAACTCCAGGACAGAAATTTAAAGTTGTCTTTGACACTGGGTCTTCCAACTTATGGGTTCCTTCCAAAAAATGTTCAATCACAGATATTGCCTGTTGTAAGTATAGAAATTATAGCCTCGTACCTGACCATCCTCGTTTGTTTTATCCCAAGTAACTAATTGGGAACCCATGTTTGTAGGCAACCAGCTCTAGATATGACCACTTTGTTGAATTAAAATTTGGTCGCTTACAAGAACCTTGATTCACGAATTGAAATTTCGAGAGTGAAGGAGGACTTAAAATGTTAACCTTGTAGTACTCTTTTGAATCTCCAGTACTACATAACAAATATGACAGCAGCAAGTCAAGCACTTATGAAAAAAATGGAACAGCTTTTGCAATCAGATATGGCAGTGGCAGCATGAAAGGATTTCTAAGCACTGATACTGTTGATGTAAGTGTGAAAAAATTATTATATTAGTCATGTAACAGATCGACCAGGTTGTGACTCAGACTCACTGTCAATATACAGTTGAGTGTTATAGTATCATAGCTATATACTTTAAAACAAAAGTTTTGAGGATTGCATGAGTTATAAGCTACATTGTACATGCAAAAAGAGTTGTTTTGTCAAGGCTTCATTTTTGTCAGTGGTTGCAGTGTGTTTAATTTCTTCTTCGTCAGCCCAATCTCACTTCTTTATCATTTTAATGGCTTGAATGAATCAAAAACTGTGCCGGTGGGGCGAGGGTTGGGGTACTCCCTGATTTAGGCCATACAGGTATGTGCCAACCCATTGGGTAGGGTTTTTGCACTTTTTGGGTCTGAAAATGGCTATAGATTTTGATTTTGGTCTGGAATTGGATATGGGTTTTGAGGAAACTGTGGGAGTGTATGAACCTATTTATCGTTTCAATTCCAAATGAGTAAGAAAGAAGGAGAAATATGCAAATTCTAAATGGATTTGAAGAATCTTTTTGTTTGCGCTCTAACATTAGTAATAAAGACATAATTTTTGCCTAAAGGCCAGGTCTGAAAACAGGTATGGACTTTAGCGGTCTCATCTGAAAACAGGTGAAAAATGACAATTTTTGGTCTGAAATAGGGTCAGGATTTCAAGAACCGGGCGGCACACCCCCACGAAGAATTCCCAGAAGTATCCACCCCGGGAAACTAAGGGACTCAGCTTTTGTAAAAAGTTTCAATTTTCTTTTGTCTCGACAGAGGTGATATATGTACATGTACTTTAAAAAGTACTTAACATGAAGGAAATTTTTTGTCTTACTTTTTGTCATTTTATTTTGTTTCCCGATATTGTCCCAGTAAGAATTTTCATTTGCCTTTTGACCTAAAGTACTCTTTGCTTGAAATGTTCACCAATATTGATTGTTCACTACAAGAACTGATTTTCCAGGAAAATGTAAGTGCTATTTTTATTATTGTAGGTTGGCAGTTTAAAGGTTACACATCAAACCTTCGCTGAAGCTACCAGTGAACCCGGAGTGGCTTTTGTTATGGCCAAGTTTGATGGAATCCTTGGCATGGGATATCCCACCATATCGGTTGATAATGTCCCTCCAGTTTTCCAGGGGATGGTCCAACAGAAACTTGTTCCGGAACCCGTTTTCTCCTTCTACTTGGACAGGTTTGTTTGTTTATGCTAAAAGTAACAAACTGACATAATCAAAAAGTCCACTATCACATTGAATAGACCTTGCTTTGCAGACACCCTGCTTACACAAACTGGATCCAATTAAAAAATCTGCGAAAAAAACTTCTTCAAAGTGTAATCAAATTCAACAAAGTATTACAGCAAAATTTCCAGGTTGTAGATAAAATTTGGAAAACTCTGAAGGGTTTTTTTTGGCAGAGTTTTTAATTACAGGAAATTGGCATGTAGAAAAATACAAGCTGTTAATTTTTATTAGAATTGATTTACTTCTTAAGAAATTAATGTGTTTTATGGGCAGTAAGAATTGTCACTTTCTTGTTTGTATTGCTCAAATTTTTTTATCAAAGCCATCTTAATTTACATTTGAAAAGTTATTGAATCCTTAGAAATGCATCAAATACAGAGCAAACTGTGATAAGCAGTAATTCAGATCTGCATATGTCAAGTTAACTAGAAATAGTCTGTGGAATATTAAAGGCCGCAAGTGACTCCTGATCTAAACAAATGTACACCTTTCTTTGATTTTTTTTTGACACTTTTCTCGGCAAAACTGTAATCATGAAAGAAATAAAATAAAAATAATTAACTATAATTACAAGAACAATTAAAAACAATTGCAGATCCCCAAAAGGACAATAGTGAAAATGGGACCGTAGACCCATGCAAGGCACTGCCCTGTTGTTACTTATAATTAAAATTTCAATAACAATGCTGTTAAATAGCTTATTTTACCCTTGGAAAGTTTTGATAAAGGCGGCTGAAAGTCATCAAAACTGTCAGCATCATTAAGACGTTAAGACTGGCTATGTTTTGAGAACATTTAAATCAATGTACAGTACAGTTCTAGTAATTGAGATTTTGTTGTCCTCAAAAGGAACCCCTCTGGCAGCACCGGAGGTGAGCTTATCCTTGGTGGCTCTGATCCTAAGTACTACACTGGTAACTTCACTTATGTTCCGGTCAGCAAGAAAGGCTACTGGCAGTTTAAGATGGATGGGTAAGTTTTTGTTTCTTTCCGGCTCTGTAACTGTATGTATGTTTGAGATAGTGAACCACTTCCTGGCTCAGGGTATACCATTAATTACAAGAAGCACAACTTACCAATGTAGCCCATTACTTGTGTGTGCCTTGCATTTGTCAAGTCGAAACTATTTTGAGCCCCTGAAACGGTGTAAATTTGGTTCATTTCCCCGTCACATCCCTAAGCATGGGTTTCATTTGAGGCTAGCTGGAGGCCAGAACAAATTTCCAGCAATTTGTTATTTTAAACCCTGAACTTTCACCAGAAACATATTATTTTTATTTCTTAGGTAAAAGTAAATTGCTCATAGCCACTTGTTTCTCCTATGAATCTGCTGCTTAAAAAAAAAATTACTGAAGACCTTTCCTTTGGCTGAATAAACATAATAATCAAACAATTATTACTGCCATTATTTTTTTAATAGTATCAATGTTGGTGGAACAGCTTTCTGTGAGGGGGGCTGCCAGGCCATCGCTGACACTGGTACATCTCTCATTGGTGGACCTACTGCCGAAGTCAAGAAGTTAAATGCACTGATTGGAGCTTCACCCGTTGTTAGCGGAGAGGTATGTACATTCAACCATTTGTCAAAATGTAGTTGGGTACCAGCAACTTAGCCTGAGAAAACAGATGTAATTTTGCAACACCCCTATTAGTTTCTGTGGAAACTGATGTCTGAGAAATGAGCAGAGAAATTCCATGCTGTTGATGTGCATAACCCGACTGAGTAGTGCTTCAAATTGGATAAAATTTCAACCAGTCAGAAACACTACCCAGATCAAGGTAATGAGGCATCATCAGTTTTGGAATTTCTGTGCTCATTCCTCACACATCATTTCGCTTGAAAACTAATGATGGTGTCGTGAAATGTTGGCAGTTTTGTCAGGTTACCAGTAAAGCTACATGCATAAAGCTCTGATATGGGTAAATGCTCTAAAAGGACTCTTATTGTGGTGATTATAATGCATTTCATTTATTTTTTTTAATTAATAGTACGTCATTGACTGCAGCAAGATTGATTCCCTTCCACCGATCGACTTTATTCTGGCTGGAAAAAATTTCACTCTCACTGGAAAGGATTATGTTCTGAAGGTTTGTACATTGATTTTCAAAAATAACCTATCATCAGAAACTCGTTTCTGCTACCATGCAACAGCACAGTACCAGTTTGAAGAAAACCTGTCAAAAATTTCATCTGTGTATCTATTTCAACTATGTTTATATTAACCTGAGGTTAAGGTATCCAGCCAGGTACACTTTGAAAAGAATGGTAAGATCTTGTAAGATATCCTCCACTAGCAAGAAATAGTACTAAAGCAAAATGTTTAACTGTATTTCTTTAGTTTTGGGTGCATTACATTCTTCTGACCCTAGTTGTTCAGAAGTTGGATAGCGCGATCCACCTGATAAATCACTATCCAGCAGTCAAGCATTGGAAAACGAATTGTGTTATCCTGCACTCAACAGAGATTTATCCAGTTATCTAGCGGATAGTGTTGGATAGTGCTATCCAGCGGACGAGTATGCAGGAAACTGATTGTGTTATCCACTCAACATTTATCCAGTTACCGTAAAATTCCAGAAATAAGTCCCGGGGCTTATATTTTTCAAAAGCCCCTTTTGAGGGGCTTATATTTGGAGGTGCTTATCTACGGAGGGAAATTTGTGTTTGAAAATTGATTAGGCTAGCCTTATAGTGGGAAGGAAATTTACCCTTTTTGCTTTGTTTTAATTGTATTTGAGGGCAATTTCCAAGTACAAGCCCTGGGAGGGTTATATATGGAAAGGTTAATTTTCGGAATTTGACGGTATTTAGTGGATAGTGTTGGATAGCGCTATCCACTTGATAGAGATTTATCCAGTTATCTAGTCAGGGCTGTCATCGAGAGGCAGGGGCTGGGATGTCCCCTGGCTACTAAGAAAGTGGCCCCCAGCTACTTCCAAAGGAAAATAGAAGAAAAATGAACCAAGAAATCCTTAGCTGTTTGATTCCCCGCCTACTTGTTATATTTACCTGGCAACTTGAAATCTTAGTGACAACCCTATAAGGTGAAAAGTGTTATCCAGCTTCCAAACAACTTGGACCTGAAGTTTAAATTTTATCTTTCTTTTGCTTTCGTTATGGATAGTGACCTTGATTTTGAATCTGTTCCTTTGGTGTCCATATAACGGAAGTTTGACTGTATAGAACACCTGTACATGTATAAGACAGACTCCTCTCTGAAATAGATAATTAGAGTCGGTCAACGTCTGATGAGTGAAAGCAAACTGCATCTAATATGAAGTTTATAGATTTCTACCTCCATCACTAGCACTGAAAATCTGTCAGTGCTTTGATGATATGAGAGTTAAGGTCGTGATCTCCCATCATGGATTTTGTAACTTCCATCCTCTGTTCTACATGTATAATTTTGTATAAGATGTGCATGGAAACTGAACAAAGGAGAATTTAAGTGCTTTCCATTCAACCAAAAAGTCCGGTTTGAATTTCGGCAACTTCCAGGAGCGAGTGGAAGAGCATTTTCCAAAATTTCCGAAGAGAGGACAACCTCGTGAGGTATACCCAAATTCTGGGAAACTTTTTCCTGGAAGTTTTCTTTCCATTCAACTTTGCTTCCGGAATTTCTTAAATTTTCG